ATGCATTGAAGAGGACAGCACAAAAGACCCTTTTGTGCTGGCAATCTACTGTGTACACACCGAACCAGTGCATGTTTGAGTTCCATATAGAAAATACATGCTCACCAGTGACTGTGGGCATTTGTGCACATTTGTGCTGTAAAACTAAGGAAGGGTTAAGGCAAAGATACAGTTTTATATATGATACCTGAAGATAATTAGTGTTTTAAATTTCTTCTCTCACCTTTTATGCTTCAAATCGGTGTCTTTGTGCCTGTTAAATGTGAAAACTTTTGTTGTTTGTTTTAAGTGTTTGTCATCCCAGTGAAGGAAGATCGTAACATTCAGATGCTTCTTGGAGTTCTCTTGTGCTTCAGACATGTCATACCCCACCTTGCTTCTCACAAGGTCAAAGAACTTGGCTTAAAAGGCAGTTTTGGTGTCACAAAAAAAGAAGAGGAAGGAGGAGTCACTTCAGAGCAACTGCAACAGGTAGATATACATATATAGAGTGCACAGTTTATTTCAATGCATGTACAACTGTTGGAGAATGTGTACAGCAAAATTATAGATCAGCTGCAGCACTTCTGGATCATTTTAATTAAGTACAGCTGCTGCAGCACAAGTGCAGCAAACAATAGTAGAAGAGCTTTGTAGCAGGTCATGGTTAGTTTGTTGTACAACTGCCACAGCAGGTGTGTAGTGCACAGCATTTTAGTGGAACAGATGTAGTAGGCTGTCAGTAGAAGGTGCATTCTCAAGCATAACAACTTCAGTTGGTATGCAGGCGCTAGTCACAGTTAAACAACACAACTGCATCAAACATGAAGCTATACAGTCCAGTTCAATATCCATAAGTACAATGAGCAATAGATGGCTAGCTCATTCAAGTATAACAGCTGCAGCAGGTATGCGGTAGACAGCATAGCCTAGCATAAGACCTGAAGCAAGAAAGTGGTATATCGTACTTGTATAACGTAGTGTAATAGCTGTTATAGGTGGGCAGTAGTTCAGTAATGCGATATTTTGATCTGTCCTTAACTGTTATTGGGATCCCTTGAATAATTTTCCCGTTTACGGGTTGTCTTTTTCTTCTTATTTCATGTGATGTTGAATTATAGTTATCACACTAACATTTGTCTCGTTTATTGATTTCTTTTTTTCAGATTTATGAGTTCCTCCTCAACTGTACCCAACACACTGATCATAATGTTGTTACAGCTACTCTAGAGACCTTGCAACAATTGCTGCGAACCACTCCTCCACCATTACTTAAGATTTTGCTATGTAAAGGTGGCATTACTGTAACAACCATATTTGAAGAGGAGACAGGAAAAGCACCAGAGGATACCGATGATTCTGCTGTGGGTAGGTTACTTGACAACAAAATGCACTGACTCACAGACAGCAGTTTAGTAGGACATTTTATTGTACAGTGCACATACGGCTGTGTTGAACTATTTGTCTGGCCACAGTCTGAGTAGATCTACCCATGCCATACCAAGATAAGTTTGTAACATTACCAAGAAAACCCATGTGCTGCATGACAAAACAGGGAAGACATTTACAGTTTACAAATGAAACCACTACAGTAGTAATAGGGCCGATTTTTGGAAGTTTAACATTACCAGCCACACAATAGTCATACAGACCAAGCAGTATGGCACTGCAGTGATCCTTCCTTTTTACATACAAGCCTTACAAGCCTCCATCTTACAAGCCTCCATCGTACAAGCCTCCATCTTACAAGCCTCCATCTTACAAGCTTGCATGTTGCTCTGAAACAAGTGTTACTACCACAATTGTATGTTTGTATGGATCTCTGCATAAAGCTTTAATTATATTATAAATCGTTTTGTTAATAGCCCAGTTCAAGTACAAAATTCTCTTAAATATGGCAATATTTATGTTTGATTATTTAATTTGTTTTCAATATTTACATAGGAAGTCAAGCTCCAAGCCTTTTTGGTGATTCTGGTCTTGATGAAGAATCTGATTCACTAAGTTTAGCTACCAGTACTGCTGATATGCCGTCTTCAACAAGCACATCTGATACAGGCATAGACTCTGAATCAACCATCAGTATGCTTGCTAACTTAGCCAATGTTCCTCTTCTACCTGAAGAAACAGGTAACCTGGAACCTCTCATTGATGAGTCTGAGGTCCTACTGAATGATAACCAAGGTGAATACTCTAATGTTGACATTGGTGACATTGAAGAAGATTCTGTCATTCAGGATACCATGTCATATCTAGGAGACCAAATGAGACAGATGTTAGTTGACAGGTTGGACGTAGAGGTTGGACTGGATGCAAGGAGATTGGCTAGTTCTGATTTATTGAAGGCAGACGAGATGGATTTTCAAGATGATACAAGTAGAGAAGACTCATCAGTCAAAAGCTCACCAACTACAGAAGTCAAGATAAAACAAGGAGATATTGGTAAATACATTTAAAGATTTTTAGAGGTACCTTGATAAAAAATACAAAATTTGATACAAGTACCTGTACCAGCAACTCTTTCAGTCAACATTTCTGTGTATTTTGTTTGTTTTTTCATTCATATTCTGTTAAACAGGGCTGGTGTAATGCGTACACAGAATTGTGTACACCTGAACATGTCTACTAGGTATAACAGAGTTTGTATTAGCACATTTTTCTACGATTTGTCAAGTAAAAAAAGGTAATTTCATGATTAGGTTTTATAAGAAGTCTCTTGTAAATTTATTTTTATTGAATCACTCTTTACAGGTCACTACACTGATGATGACTATCCCGTTACTCACTGTGTCCGACTCCTAAGCTCAACATACCTTCTGACAGGATATAGTGGGGGCGTTATGCCAGATAGACATGTGAGGATTAGTGTCAAGGCTCTTGCATTGAGTTGTGTAGGACTTATGGTTGGCATGCATCCTAGAATCTTCTTTGCAAAGCTCTTCAACTCAGATGCTTCAGAAACTGCAGAAGGTTTGTCCATGTTTTATTTGAGAAATTTGATTTTACTGCTTAAAAAAAGAAGATATCTCGAGCTCTGTTCTCAGACTTATTGATTTAGAGGTTCTTTATTTATTGGTTGGTGCTTGTAAGCTTGCCATAATTGTTTATTCAATTTTCTAGAAGATCAGTTGATTCGTGATATCTTACTGTACATGAGTCATAATGACCATCAACTTCGTGGCCAAACTACACTGATAATTGGAAACCTGATCAGAGCATCACTTGTTGAATCTGCCTATGACTTCACCAGGTGGTGCTGGGACACATGCCAAGATTACTTATTTACAGGTAAGGCCTTAAATGTACATGAATCCTAGCAAGTACGTGTACTCAGTGCTCTTGTTGAATTCCAACATTTTTGTTGATAGAGTAAAGCATAATTTGAACAATAGCTTGTAGTGTCCTATGCGTGTGGTAAAATTGCATGCACAAATACATGTACAGTACACATTTGCTTCAACCGCATTTTCACTTGAATGACTATACATATCTCAACTTAAGGACTGAATTGCTAGATTGAATTAACTAACATGCAAAAATCCATGGATCTAATCATTTGTTGACAAATGAGTCTCCTTGTAAATTTGTAAATTCTGAAGAACTGAGACCCATCAACATGGCTGTGTTCAAACAGCATTTTAGCTAAAACTGTCAGAGTTAAAATGGTTTCTCACCATAGGGGGTTCGTAGTAACATTAAAACAAATGCTACATTTGCTGTACATTTGATTCAACTATCAACAAAAGAAATTGGAGGAGATGGATGCATGAAAATGCGAACCATGAACTTAAAAAATCATGGTACGGTATATGTACCAGTACATAACCCATGTGCGCCAATAGTACATTGTACGTCACACTGCTTTGGTTTGCCTGCTGGACTACCATGCTTGTTTACGAATGAAAGTGCAAAACAGAAAGCCTGTTACGTAACTCGGGGTACACTTACATGTAACCAACTAAAACAGGAAGCGTTTTACCTTAAACTATTCAGACACTATACGTAATTTGAAAATCATTTCAGTTTAGCACTAAACCCACCCCCAAGGTGGTACCATTTTAACATCAAACCTAAACTTATTCGGTGAAACTTACAAAACATTCAGACACCAGTTTAGCAGAAAAGTTACACTGAAGTGAGTCCAACTACTGTTATAAAAGAATTTATATTGGTGTCTGAGTGTACTATATGATGTATTACATTTTGCAGATCCAATGAGTTTAGACTACTTAGTCTCCTTACTGTCAACATCACTTAAAGATGAATCATCTGTCACATTGAGGAGTGCTTGCCAAGCCATCAAGGTGAAACTAAGAAAACATGAGTATGAGCCTGAAGGTGTATGAACATACAGTAGTGTTGAGTGAATATTGAATGTATTCTCAACTTTGAATAATATTGGCTTACGTACAGTAGTCAATCCCTGTAATGCTGAAACTCAAGCAAGGACTTTCAGAATATGAAGTTGAGAATTTTTTACTTCAAAATGTAGTAACAGCTGAAATGTGTAGTCACGTGTTTTGTTTGGTGTTGTTGTTTTTTTTTTTTTGCTATTTCAAACTTGAAGCTTTGCCTGTTGGATCTCTGCAAGAGTCGCCATGGCATCCTTGGTCTTCAGTTGACCCATGACCTTTTGGAACTCAAGAAGTGTTCCTATTGGCTTGTACAAGTTGAACTACTTGATCTCCTTAGTGGAATAAACTTTAAGTAAGTTTTAGAGTAAAATGGCAAAAGGAAACCTTTTTTTATAGCAATGGTACATGCAATTGAATTGGATTACTTAGTGTAAAAGTTAGTTGTCAAAAAGTCAATTCATATTTGGTATTATAGACACAGATTACATTTATATCTACCAACTAGGTTTCAGGACAGTCAATTTTTGCATTGTGTGTAGGATTTGTGATATGGCGATGACATGAGGTCATCAAAACTTGTATACTTACCAAGATCAGTAGATTTAGCACACTTGATGTTGCTTTTAATGATGCTTTTTATTTATCAACAGACTGATGCAGTTTTTGGAGAACAAACAAAGACAGTCAACGCACCACAGTTATTTAACCAAGGTACATATATATATAATAAAAATTATAGTACTGAATGCGAGGGAGCATTTTCATGTTCATTGCTCCCATTATCAAAACAAAACAGTGAGCTTGTAACTTAAAGTTCACATTGAAAAAACTACTACAGAGCTGACTTTTCAAGGATTTTTTGGTTTCCATAAAAAATGCTTTTAGCAATGGAGTGAATGTGTTATAATGGAGCCTTTGTAGCATGAGGACATGTGGAGTCTTTGGCCATCCAGAACTAATGCACTTTGCATAAAAGTTATATTGAAATTCAGTGAACCTTTTGAGAGTAGATTTCTTGATGTGTACATGTATTGTGTTAAAACTTCAGATTATGCTATATGGTGGAGATGCGTGATGCAGTGTCTAAAGTGGGCACAACCATTGCATTGGTTACATATGGTGCTGTACAGATATAATGCTCAAACAAGTTTGATCCTTCTTAGGAATCTACTGTATGTGATGCCATGACATAAAGTGGGTTGTTATAAATATCCTCAAGCACCAAGACCCTTGGGACAAGTGGATACTAAACATTGTAGGCCCTGATTTGGTTGGAGAGTTGTGTTTTGTAGGGCTTAAACGTAAATCTAGGGGGTTAAGGGGGTTTCAAAAGTGTTCTTGTATGGTTCACCAGTTGTAAATTGCTCCTGTCCAGACTTAATTACCTTCTTGCTAAAACACCACATCAGCCACTTCGCTGAATATAAGCACAGATTCCAGTTAACCTTCTAGCCAGTTGTGGGTCTTGATGATAAAGGGAATAAATATGTGCTTTAAGACCAGCTCAGGAGAATGGATTCAACTAATGCTGGAGCCACATCAACGTTCATTCTCTTGAGCAGGGTCTTGAACATACCATTCATAAATGGTATTTTATTCAGAGAGTCAAATGAAAGTCAAACATATAATAGATTTCCAACGATTTTATTCTAAAACTTTAGTTTCATTTTCTCGAACACCCCCGTCCATTTTATGGTGTATTCCTTTTGAAAGTTGTCCAATAGAATCCCCTTCAATGAACTTGGGGCGAGGGGTGCATTGCATGCATACAGACTCCTGACTAGTGAGACCCAATGAAACTGTATCGTATTCATATGCCAGTGCATAATTTACACAGCAGGAATTATCACTTCTCAGCGGGCATTATCAAATGTTAATATACAGTCACATGACACATTTTGATCAATAGGAATAGAAAAACTGTCCCAGGTATTTATGAGTAGTCAATAAACCTTCGATTTTTTAGTGTGGTATAAACTAAGTTTATTCTTTCTGCAGCTGAACAGTGCTCAAGATTCTGTCCTGAATGATATAGTACTGAAGTTCCTTGGCAGTCATGATGTACGTGTCAGGCATGCAGCAGCTGAAGCAATTGTAAAGTAAGAACACTGCTATTATACAATATTGACCTTCAATTATATTTTCCTGTCCATAGGCACAAATTAAGTCAAAAAATTAAGGGTCAGTTTAAGGACCAGTTTGAAGTGAACTTTATGTTCACTTAGCTTTTCTGATATCTCCTTAAAGGATGGTTCCTAAGCTGTTCTACCCTGTGGACTATCCCCACCAGGATCCATTGTCAGCATTAGCCAAAGACCAAATTTCTAAGTATGTTGATCCAGTGATAGGAGATGCAGTGCAGTATTCTCAGGTAAGAGCAGCAGTGCGAACTTTCTGTCCAGATAATTAAAAAGTGTGGTTCCAAGCAGAAGAAATTCTAACATGTTCTATCTGACATTGTCTATCTAGGCTCAAACGACTGCTATGAGTGAAATTGTTATCTTCAAGAGTGGTCCAGAGGGTGGAAGAGCCACTATTGATTCTGCATTGTCAAGAGTTGTTGACGTAATAGTCAAGGCTATGAATGCTTGTTCCTCAAAATACATCAAGGTAGGTTAATGGAGAAAATGGGCCAATGTGTAAGCATCACTTCCCATGTATGTGCCCTGTGTAATACCCCCCCACCAGGCTGTTGAGCTATACAAGTGAATGCACTGTGCTTACTTGAACGCTGTACATTCCACCAGAAACTTGTTACTCCTGATGATCAGCACACCCAGTGCCCCCAATATTACCTCAGCATGCCAAATGACCCCAACAAATAGATTTTGTTGCTGTGTCCAAGTACATGTACACTATTTTGTTACCTCTGTAAAAAAAATTTAAGTAAAATGTCATTCACATCTTGAAGGTACCAATGAATGGTATGGGCATGTTTTGTGCTCATGACTGCTTATACAGTTTCAAAGGATTTGGGCTAGGAGTTGCTAATCCTTGTAAGCATATCAGCAGGTTAACTTATTCCCAAGGTGCTATTGAACTATTGATAAAAAGTATCATAATGCAAATAATACGTCTAAAATACAATTACCTGTAGTCTTATTTAAAGTAGTCTAAAGTTGAGCCTACTCTTTGTTCCCTTCATGTTTAAATATAACATTTTGGGTTCTATATCAGTTTGGATGTTGCCATGCCTTGTGTCAGCTGTCTATGACGTATTCAGTCATAGCCCATCCGAGTGCCTGGAATTGCGCAATGTGTCAATCGCCACTGGTGAAGGATAATTCTGTCAAATCTTCTGGTCGGCACAGAACTGCTGCAGGAAGGTAAAAAAAGATATATATTTATATATACAGTCATTGGAAAAATAAGTAACACAAAGTGAAGCCGTACTATGTGGAACGTAAAGCTCTGTGGGATAAATATATTTCACTTGGGACATAAAGAGCCCTCTATTGCCATCATAAGGTGTCAGGTTCTTTAATGGCAGACTTAGGTTGCATCCAAATCTGTCGTCTATGGCTAGGTCTAGGTCTTCACTCCATGGGGAACATGCAGAGATGTGCAGACAGTAGACCTACCTGTAGCTCTGAAAGCCCATTTCAGAAATGGTCATCAGCTTGTGTGAACCGTACCAACCTTCCAATATGTTTGGTATTTGCCCTGATTCAGAGGCCTGTCGGCAGCTACCTGTATTGGCATGTAAATGTACAAATGAATTTCTAGATGTGTGAAGTTCAATAAGTGCGCCTTCAGATCTTCATGTTGTAGGCTCCAGACCTGTCAATCGTATTCATTCCCGTTGTTAATTTCCTTTTGATAATAAACATCCGCTAATTAACATTACCAGCAATTTTTAATGTTTTTTCTATTTTTTCTCCTTTATTTCTTATCAGGGCCATTCCATGAGTGGTGATTAAATATTAATATTATTCTACCAAGTCACCTTATTAGGTATCATTAGAAATAAAAGAAAACTAAAATGAGCAGCATTTTAAGCTATTCAAGTTCAAGAATTGGGCCTAGACCCTGTAAAAATATGTTTTTCGATGTGTGTAAGAGTGCAACACACTGCAGACCCTGGTTTCTGAATATGGCAGCGAGGAACAGCATTGATGTGGGATCAGATCATGGAGTTTGAATGGTCTCTGAACAACTTGTCCATGTGTAATAGGAGACTTTGAGACACATGGTGGCAGCATACAAACTGGTCCGGAGTTGTGTGCGTGCTTAGAACTAACACACATGCCTAAAACTGCATGCGCATGCCCACATCAACCAAACAGGGCTGTTGTATGTGCTGCCTTGAAGTCTGCCATTCCTCATATGATCCTCTTTGTATACAATGTTATGTACATTCCCCACAGCTTTGGAAGTCAAGGTGTTCCTGCTGGTCTTGAAGAGCTGTGTAATGGTTCTGGGTGTGGTCCTCTCCCTTTGATCCTTTCCAACTTGACATCATCTCTGTTATTGCTTGACCTCACTGCTCATCAAGATGCCCTTCATCTGGCAGGCAACATTCTCATTGGTGAGTCATAGTTACAGTTAATTAGACAAATGTCATATCCTGTTCTATAAACCTCAACTTAGTCTTTGTCAAGGAGTCCTGAGATTGCAAATTTCAAATTGCAGGCTGCTAATACCACAAACTGTACAAATACTTTTGTTCATTATGTCTATCGGGTATTGATTAACACCATAAAACTATATACATGTAAACCAAACCAGTACTTTCAGTGTTTAGGAGGAGGTTTGTTATCACATGTTGTCATACCTCATTGCGAGAGGTACTATTTGAGCAGACTGCTATTGTCTCCACGGGTTACAACTGATGTTTTGTACATGTGTTTTACCTTGTAGGGATTGCCTATCATTCTCTGAAGGTTATCACCCCTACCAAGCCGTCAGCCACAACCCAGTCAACTTCTGCTGAGGAGGAGAGTTGGGCTTGCCTTCAAAATAGACTGCTAGTACCTCTAGCTGCACAATTAATGCAGCATGTGGCAAGAGTGCTTTGTATTTGTGCACATGTAATTGAAGGAACACAGCCAGGCCCACCAAAATCTCAGGTAAAGTAGAAGTGACCAATCTGTTTCAAAATGCCTGTTCTGTGTATCATCAGCTTTGAGCTTGTAGTATAAAATCACATCAGTGATGTCCAAGCTGTGTCACATGATACTGTTGACAAAATTAAAGTAAACTTTAGTAGGAGAACTTTCATTTTTGTCAGTGGTACACTTTTGTCATCATCCTACAGCAACTGTATTTTACTTGACGTGCATTTTACTTGAAGCACATAGCTCCACTTAATTTACTCATTTGATGTTTGACCTTTACATGGCAGACGACACTCCCCTCATTACCTGCCGGCCCTTCACTAAGTCCCATTAAAAGGAGAGCTAAAGGAAAAGACAAGGACACCATGGACCAAGGAAGTATGTCACCAAACACACAAGCAAAATTACAAGCAGGTAATGACAGAGACAGTGGACCAAGGAAGCATGTCATTGAACACACAAACTATTACAAGCAGGTAATGACAGACGCTGGACCAAGAAAGCATGTCTCCAAATAGACAAACTATTACAAGCAGGTAATGACGGAGACAGTGGACCAAGGAAGCATGTCATTGAACACACAAAATTACAAGCAGGTAATGACAGACACTGGACCAAGAAAGCATGTCTCCAAATAGACAAACTATTACAAGCAGGTAATGACAGAGACAGTGGACCAAGAAAACATGTCATTGAACACACAATCATGACAAGCAGATTTCCCCTCTCCCAGACATGAATACAGTTTTATTCAAATCAACTTTAATTATATTTACATAGACAAGGCTGAAACTGCAGAGGAAAAGAAGAGTCCTAAATCAACCTATGGTGCCTTCTATCAGCTACCTCATTATATGAAACTGTACGAGGTTATGAAGTCAGCATATAACAACTACAAGGTACTCTAAT